AACATAAGAAAGATCCTGGCCACAGGCCCAAGAATGGAAAGGAAAGGTTTGTTACTGCCAGGAAAATAATGTCCAGATCTGAAAACTTTTAGTTTTAGCATTGAAAGAAAATATTTATGTCAAATCTCCCCATCTCTGTGATTCAGGATGACAAAAGGTCACTTCCCTAGTAGACCTGTGATAAGGGTACAGACACTTCCACCTCACCTTGGAAAGTACCATGATTGTATTGAAGCTTTTTGAGAACCCTTGGAAGAGAGACAGACAGAGAGAGAGAGAGAGAGAGAGAGAGAGAGAGAGAGAGAAGGGGAGAGAAAGAGAGAGGTGGAAGGAGACCCATTCTTCATTCATGAGCTTTTAAAACTGTATATATTGGAAAGGTTAATGATTTTGGGTGTTAATAATTTTGAATTAGAATATCTAGAGTTGTGATAATGAAACTGAAGGCATTAAATATGAATATGTTTATGTCATAGACTTCATTAATTTGATTCATAGAAAATTATTGTTGTAGGTTAAGAATATCATAAAATCTGCTTTTACAATCCTCTAAGGCTCATCGCTAGTTTTTAGAGGAAGGAGTAGTCAGGTCAACATGTTTTAAATGAGATGTAAGAGACAAACAAAGCTTATAATATTGTAACTAGCCCCCTCCCACAGGAATGTGTCTATATTTATATAGCATAACCTGTTAAATCTGTACCAATGGCTGCAAATACAGACCACAGAAGCTTCTTTAATAACACACATACACCAAGTCCAAACTGTTCTACTCTGTCATTCATGTGTAAATAAAGTATATTATTCATATACTTCACTGACTTCCTGAATGCATGCTAAAAATGCCAAGGAAAAACTCATTAATCGTGACATGGTGACTGCTAAGCCAGCTCTGAAATGTTGATGGAAAAGAAAAATTGTCAAAGGGCCTTTTTAAGAACTTCTGCAGGTTACACTCGCAAATCGGAATTCAGAGAACATGAATTTCCTTTTCAGGAAGGAAGGATTAAAGCCAAACACCCTCCAGTGGTTGCATCTAAAAATTGCATAGTTGTCTCAGTGGTTTACTTGTAAAAGGAGTCTCCCTGTTCACCATTGAGTATCCAGGATCCAAGTCCCTGCTCAGTGTGATAGTTGTATAATCTCAAAAAAATTAAAATGACTGCTATGGAATATAAAATATCTGCCCATTCTGATGACATCTTCTTGGGTATTTCTATGTTAAGTTCTTTTGGTGCATAGGGCAATGCTCCAACCAGTGGAGCTACCCAGTCAGGGCTCTATGTTAAGTTCTTTATTTTTATTTTATTTTTTTGCATTTATTTTTTTCATTATTGATTTTAGAGAAGAAGGGAGAAACAGAGATAGATAGAAACATTGATGAGAGAACATCAATTGGCCACCTCCGCATACCCCCCACTGGGGATCAGGCCCACAGCCTGGGCATGTGCCATTACTGGGAATTGAACTGGTGACCTCTTGGTGCATGGGTCAATGCTCAACCACTAAGCCACACCAGCCAGGCTATGTTAAGTTATTTAAATGTCAAGATAACAACCTGCTATAATCTTTTTTTTTTTTTATCTTAACCTGAATACATGTTTTTTCTTTAAATTTATATATAAGAAAGAGAGAGAGGGAAAAACATCAATGTGAGAGAAACATCAGTCACCTCTGTACTTACCCTGACCAAGGAGCAAACTCACAACCCAGGCATGTGCCCTGGCTGGGGATCAAATCTGCAAACTTTTGTTGTATGGGACCATGCTCTAGCCAACTGGTCCACCTGACCAGGGCAGCTTCCTGTAATCTTTTATGCAGTGTGTTATGTCTTCAACTATTGTAGTTTTGAGGTTGGAAATACAGCTATGTTAGCCTCACAGCCTATGGTCAAGAAGGATGTTCAGACCTATCTATGATACAGCAAAACACCTAATTAATTCCAATCAGTTCAGCCAAACAAGTAGCTGACTCAGTGAGGTATAAAATATTCTACCTCATGTTTGGCTAAATCTACACAGCAGGTTGATTCAATTGATCTGTCAAGTCATCAAAATGAACTATCCGGTAACACTAAGAGGACACACCTTTGAGATATATCTCTCTTCCTATCATGCTTTCTAGGTCTCATTCTCACCCATGTGCAAATAGTTACTTCTTGACACAATAAGAAAGTGTCTTCTACTGAGTCTCAGGTAAAATGGATCTTCTGTGTTTCAAGTTGTCACCATTTCCCTTTCTAATGTGTACAGTGTTGAAACATTGTTTTTTTTTCTAGCTCAGAATAAAGATGATGTTGAAATTTTCAGACATAAAGATTGCCAATTTTTATCCACTCACTGGGGTTGATAAAGACTGGCTATTGTGAGGGTAACAATTTTGGAATGCAAGAAAGCACAGAAAGACTGGTACCACATTGAGTTCTACTGAAGATGACTTGACATTGAATATAAATTATGCTTTGGTAATAATATTACTTTAATGTAATTTGGCTATTATTACTCTAAAAATAAATTTTACAGAATTTCTACATTTAACAAAGTGCTCTTGGCAAAAATACAAAAACTACATAGTGATCTAATTGATTAATCTAAAAATGGTAATGAAATACTTAAAATTTTTCATCAGTGATTAATCAACCCTTTGTAGCTATTTTTGCAAATATCTGAAAAGTAAAAGTAATATACTCACTAGTCCATTTTAAAGACAGACACTATTCCTATGAATTACTCACAGTACTTTTTTCTTTCAGTAGAAAGTCCCTTTGTAGCTTTCATCTTCAGTTTGTTAAAGAAAAACTTTTGTCACATACTGACATGAAAAAATCTATGCTGTACACCTGATACTAATATAAAAAATATTGCTTATAAATTGTAATTGAAAACTATAATAAAAAACACTAAAATTTTTTAAACCCTTATATATTTTATTCTAATTATTTCCTCCTGTCTTAATCCAATAGTGTTCAAACAAAATCAATAAGCATCCACGAGAAATTCAATGAACTCAAGTAATCTGCTAGATGAAGACAGAGGTATGAGCATAAATGAGATAAGAGTCCCTATCCTCACAAAGCTTACAATCTTGCTCACATAAATAGATGAAAATGTACATAAAATGATACAAAATATAACAAAAGTGCAAACTTTATAGTCAAACAAGAGATTGTACATCATGAACTGAAGGACTAGAGAAATTATTATGGACTTTTCACAGAAGTAGTTATATGAATAAGGATAAGTAGGATTTATAAAGATATGAAAGACTAACATGAACAAAAGCATTGTAGGAACACACAATATATATCAAATGCACAGTTTTACTAGGGTGTAAGACAGAAGTAGGGGAAATGTTAGGATATAATTTTAGAAAATAAATCTGGGTTGGCAGCAGATTGTAGAAGTGTTTAGTTAAAGCTTATAAATTGTATCCTATAGCAAATGACCAACAATTTAGGAATGTTGAATAGGGGAGTGATGTGATCAAGGAATTATACATATTAGTGGGACTGGATGGATGAGAGGACAAATATGGAATGTAATCAATATGCAGAAATGAGGCCATTAAGGCCTATGCTAGAATAGTAGAAGTTAGAATGGAAAAGATGCAATGAACATCGAATATGGGAGAATAGAAAATGAGTCTGAGGTATCAGTATGTTCACTTGGGATTGACCAATGTAGAAGTAGTATGTCAAGTCATCAAAATGAAGAAAGCTACAGAAATAAAGAAACGAAGGACCATGTGAAGAAGTTTGGGGAATTCTTTAATTTGTAGTACAGGAAAGTAATAGATCAATAAATATTATTTTCTTTATCCTTTCTATGCACGTGTGAATGTGCATACCCATGTGTATACACAAATATACATAGACACATATGCACTCTGAGAAAAAGAGATGGACAATCAGAACTCGATTGTTTAAATTTGTCCTCTGTCAGTTTAGTGACCCTGTGGACTGCTGGTAATCTGAATAAATGTTTTTAAGTAATAACATGATCTAGTAAAGTGAGAACCAGAGTCAAACAGATCTAGGTTCTAATTCCAGCTCTACCATTTGCTAACTGCCTAATCTTGGACTTCTTTGTGGCTTTCTTTTCTCATTTGTAAGAGGACAGTATCTGTTCTCTCTCTATATTGGGATATTGTAATGATGAATAAAATGTGAGTATTGAACAGATAAGCTTTTTAATTTTATCATATATATATATAAATGACCTTCTTCTGATTGCGGTTATACTTCAGCTTCCCCCTGTCAAGGTTATTAACATAAACTCATATACAAATTAATTATATCACTTTTATTTCCCTTAATGGCATATTAAGCTCTTTGAGGGTAGGGACAATATCTTAGGTTTTTCTGTATTTCCCTTACACTTTACCCTGTAAAGCACTCTGAACATTAAGAGTAACAAAGTATATATTTTACTTGGACCCTAATTTATTCTTTCAATATGTAACATAATTTAAAGGTAGCACTCAAACTCACATAATCCAGAAATTCTTAAAAATAAATACACAGTGAAAGTGCAACTCCTGGTAGTTTCACAACCCTATTTAAGTGGATTTTTATATAAATCTTAAAATTAATAACAAGGTATAAATTCAGAGTTATTAATGAAAATGAGTGTAGCTATATGTAGAAGTACAATGACAAAAGACCAGCTTTGGAATTGAAATGCATTGAAAAGATTTTAATTGACTTATACAGATTATTTTTTAAGGAGAATCATTGTTTTTTTCAGAACACAAAGGTAATATAATAAGAAATATCATCAAGGCACAATTTTAAAACCACAGCTGAAATATAAGTGGGAGTACCATTTTAAAAATGTGAATGTTAGAAAGTCAGAACACAGGCATTAGGGAGAAACCTTAATTTAATAAAATCTCCTATGAGAAAAAATATCTAAATACTTGACTCTAATGTTCAAAGCTTCCATATAACTTCCTAAAATATCCCCACAAACTTTTAAAATACAAAACTTGAAAGTACTTACTTCCACTTGGAATCAAATCTCTTTCTGGAATGAAGAGTTTATATCCATAGTGTTTTTCTAGGACATCTGGCAGTATTTCAAGAGCAAACTGCTCTTCTTCAGGATTGTCACAGCCTAAAGTATCTTGGTCCATTTTTGTGTAAGAGAGATAGGCATCATATTCCTTGTTGTCTTAAATATGCAGAACAACAAAAGGGTTGTACATGTTAGCAGGTTCCTTCAAGTACTAAAAATATATAACCACTAATAGGCTGGAATAAGCGCTGTAATCAGCAACTGTTGTTAGTAATTAGAAAAAATACGTCACCTGTCATGTTATAACAAATCCAGTACATTTCAACATAATATAGTCATATGATATGACCTGAAACTTTTATGTAATGGGCAGTAGTCAGGAAAGAATAATAGAGGGAATTAGTATTTGTAACTCTTGATAACTATACATATTTGTGATGCTCAGTGACGTATGAATGATTAGCTCAGTGTATCTGAATGCAAGACTAAATAGACCAAAGACATGGATTTGAATTTTTTTCTCTTCCAGTTGGCTTGGCTCTGTTACTTAGAAACAGACTATACCTAGTTGCACAAATATGTGCAAGAGATCCACGAGGAGCTGGGCTATAGAGTGTGGAAGATCGAAATAATCCAGCCTCACTCCTGGAGACACATACTCACAGCACATATCATAATTCCAGTTGGTTAGTGTCATCATCTTCTTATACAAAAGGCAGCTCATTACCAAATTTTAGAGACAGCAGCTGTGTTTTATACAAGTGCATTCCCCATTATTCTTGTTCAACCCATGGCCAACTAACTACAAGCTTCCAAAAGAAGCCTTTGTTTTGAAATATACATCCTTTCAGTATTGGCAAATTAGGTTTTCCCATTACACATTTAGCCAGAGAGTTAACTGTGCTTTGAGAATGTACACTTTTCCTTCTTTGCTGTATTGGTCCAGAGCCAACCTCTCCATATAAATTTTTTTTTCCTGAAAAATATTAATGAATATAGTTACTCAAGGTATAAGTTCCCATTGGTTTTAGAGAGGCCACATTGGAAAAGTTATAGTGCTTTTCAAAATTCCTTTATTTATAGAAAACTTATTATAAAAAAGTTAATGTAGTGAGCATAGACTTATATGGAATTATCAGTATTTATTAAACCTAGATATCTGCAAATAATATTTTTAAAAGACAGGCAAATATTTCAAGATTTGTTTTTAAAACACTTCGGTATTTTCCATTAAAACAGATCTGATTAGAATATAATTAAAACCTGACCAAAAGGTAATTTACAGAACAAAGCAGCCACTCCTCTATACCATTGATTATTTGGTTCTACCTGCAGAAGGAGGAACAAAGGATAAGCATATAAAGACATATAAATACCCTGCAACAGCAGTAGGCGTGACCCTCTGCCTATCTAGAGATACTTGAGACAGGGTTATGTTGTTCTGATTCTAGGAAGATTCCAGCCATCACCACCCTCACAAAAAAGGAAATCTGGTTACTTATGTTTAGATGGTACTTGAAGACAGAAGATTCACTTTAGCATGTCCACTGGCTGGAAAAGGCTTCATAAACCTTGGTTGGATTACTTGATTGCCTGGAAACAGATACCCATGAAGGGCTGCCCTGGATAGTTGAGATCATTTGGCTAACAAATGGGGCACATTCTGCTGTTATACATAAAAAACCATTTGGAAGACAGAATGTTCATATGCAATGCTAATGTAAGAACCTTCCCATAATCCTAGCACCTCTGCCCCTGTTCCAATCAAGCTTAGGATGCACCTGCAGGTCTTTGACTTTCTCCAGCTATAATTATGCACCTGGGACTTAGAGATGCCAATGGTACACAGCTGGAAGAGTAAAATAGGCCAAAGGACAGATTCATTCCTATAAGCAGAATGCATTTCATTGTTCCTGGAGGATAGTTTTGCTGCCTCAAACTCCATAATGTCCATAATGTCAGACTAGACCTTTTTTCCTCTGACTTTGATAACTTCTCTATCTCACAAACCCCCCTGAATTTAACTACTTCTTAATTCATTCAACGATGATTTATTGAACATATACTATGAACCAAGCATCTACAATAACTACCTGACTCTTTTACCTGACCAGGGCTTCTAGACTCTTGCCCCATTGCTTGTCCTGACTATGACTTTTGGCCTCCAACTATGACTAAACTTACATATTCCCAATCCAATCCTTGCTTGTTTAACTTTTTATCTTAGTTTAGGTGATGCTACAAAGATGTTCCTCTAGAAAAATATTGCTGTATTTGCATATCTCAGGTTAAGTTATGACAAAGGACATGGATGTCTTTGACACATGTTAACATCCAATGTGTCTAAATAATAATTTTCACCTAATATTCTAGAAGCACATTGTTCTTTGGAAAACAGTTGCTTCAGGTTTCAGTCACTTCCCTTTAAGACAAAGGTGAAGAACTTGTGGTGGATGGCCAAAGTAGAAAGAGAGCTCTCAAAGCTACCATGTCAGATATCCCAGAAGCTCTAGGATGCCAGCTAGAAAGCTAGTGACACAGATGCTACAGTTTAAAACAATGCACTTCAGCCTTATGTATATAGCCAATAAAACCTCATGAATAGCCACAGCTGTTGCTCACAAAAAGGAGCAAAATGGATAAAGCAAAATTAACAACATGATGCAAATAAGATTAACAGCAAGGCCTAAAAACTATTTTTAAACCAAATAGAAATTCAGCAACACCACTTTGCTAGGTAGGGCTAATGAGACTTTTTCTGTGTTAAACTGACTAAGCTCATCTGAGGAGCCAAAAAATAGAGCAAAATGCAGACAGACCATTCTTAAAAAAAAGGGCTCACATAGCGGTAACCACAGGTATGCAGTTCCCAATGAAAATAAAAGTTATGTGGAAGGAAACCAAACTGTCTGTGGATGAATTTTCTTGTCACGACTGTCCTTTCTTGTTTTAAAAGCTAATATTAATGCAGTTAACCATTAGGAAGCCATTTCTGTGTGCAACCCAGATCTTCCAGTGCTGTGCTAAACACAGTGCTAAATCCTTAGCTTCAAAAGTACAAAGACTGTGTGACTGTTGATTATTATAACCCTAGTGACTGCTACAGTGCCTGCATGTGTGTGTGTGTGTTTGTGTGTGTGTGTGTGTGTAGTGCTGATCCAGATAAAGAATAAAAGTAAATATATCATGCATAGTGTCTGCTACATAATAGACACTAAAGAAATATTTAATGACTGAATAACATAAAGGTCAAATAAATAAACAATCATTACTTGATAGATTGAAATAAAATTAATTATATAAAAAAATAGCTAAGAAGTCAGTTTGTTGGATATATTTTTATTAATAAAAAATCAGGCATTTTAATTTCAAGTCAAATAAAACATTTTTTCATATTGTTATTTTAACATTTTTTATGAAATAATATGCTTCTTCATGTCCTTTTGTTTATTTACTGCAGTCTTTGTGATTTCTCATTAGTTCATCTAGGTATTTACTTAGGAACACAATTAAAAATTGCCCCCCAAAAAGGCATTTTGATGGTGATACAGTAGGTGAAAGTTACACTCACCTCCTTCCAGGACCAAACTGGAATTACAACTAAATTATAGAACAATCAACCTAAATAACCAACTGAAGACTGGTTGAACAGTTCTTATAACCAAGGATTTACAGAAGAAGCCACATTGAGACTAGTAAGAAAGGTAGAGACCATTCCCACAGGCAGCAGGTGAGAATCTGGAGGGACATTTCAGCTGCAAAGTCTCTCTTTGAGGCGCAAGGAGTCTCAATCCAATGCTGGATCTGCATCTCAGAACACCATAACCATAAAAAGGCATCCACATAACATCTAGCTGTGAAAATCAGCAGGGATTCTGTCACCCAAGGAGTGACAGGAGTCTGCTAGAGAACCAGGCACATTCTTAAAGAGCCAGTGCACAAAATCTCATTCACAAAAATTCACTCTGAGCCCTGGTAGAGGGAGGGTGAAGTGGACTAGAGTACTGTGAGGACAGGCTGGGGTTTGTGGCTCTGGGGAGAGAGCTGAAGGGACAGCCACCAGAATCCCTGTACTGAGTACCTCTCCCACACTGCACATGCCATCTTTCTTGAGTGGAGTACTCCCCTCCATTTGGCATCATCCTTGGGGAACGCTGTTGCCTACCCTCTGGACTCAACCACCCCATGGAGCTCATGCCCTAAGGAGGAGTCAGTTGCCTGGGCCCAGGATCTACAGGTCTGGGTGGACTCAGAAGGTGTCAGTGACTGAGTTGTGTGGCTCTGGGATGGGCACGATTTCCCCCATCTTCTTGTAAGCCTGACCAGTGTCTTACCCTCACTGCGTTCCACTAGGTCCACCCTCCAGACTCTTGGTGTACCCACCCTCTGGACTACTGGTGGCCCCACCCTTTGAAGCTGGGGTACAGCACGAGGTGTGAGAAGAATCCAGGAACAGACTGAGTTGTGTGGCTCTAAGCAGGGGGGCATTTTCCCCTGGCACATTTGACCAGTGCAGAGACATCATTGCTTCACACAGCCAATTTTGGTAAAATTGGTCCTGATAAACACTGTTGGCTTCACCCTGATGACTCTCTGAGACCCCAACGAACAACAAATGTATGGGGACACCTGGTAGGTGGCATCTAGCCTTGGTGCACACTAGATCTTTTGCTGAGTAGCCTCAAACCCAGCACTGGCACCAAGTTTGACCTTGTATCAATCTGGTGAATACCACTCACATCTACCTAGTGACTCACTAAAACCTACCTCTTGCAACTCTAGTACCACCAGAGACGCAGGAACTGAACTTAAGAGGCAGCTGTGGGGCAGAAGCAGGTGAAGGTAGATATCAGAGTGCCTTGGGACTTTTGCTGACTTGTCTGAAGACTCAGTGCTGGTGGGAGCCCACCTTTCTGTGCAGCTTGGTACTTCTATGCACATCCAGGCCCAGCAGAGGCAACCTCAAACTGTGGATTTCTTTGTAGGTCCAAACAGGTTGACCAGGGCCAGTGCCAGGTATTGTCTGACATTGACTTGTACCACAGTCGCTCCCACAAGGAACTGGTATGAACACACCCAGTGGTGAGCTTCAGAAAATATCAGAACAGGCTCCAAATAGCTCCACAAGTGACACATCCAAAGGGAGATCTTGGCAG